AAATAAAAATTAAATATATGCAGTATGGTCTTAACCTCATTTTTCCAGGTAAGATTGGTTTCCCATTCAAAACTTCAGCAAATATGCAACCAAAAGACCACATGTCAACAGCTGGACTATATTTCGTCGCTGTGAGAAGCAACTCTACAGATCTGGGTGATCAATGGTTTGAAATGGAGAGTCTCAAAGATTGCCACTGGAAGGCAATACAAACTCACGGGTATCAAATATATTAAGAGTTTCTTGTGCAGTAATCCTGCGAAAAAAGAGAATGATAGATATAAAATTTACCTGTACCAAAAAGTAATGACATGATTCATAAGATTAGCATTATGGTCACTTGAAAATGATCGTGCCAGCCCAAAATATGCAAGCTTCAGATTTCCTTCATTGTCCATGAGAAGGTTGGAGCCTGCAAAATGCTAACTCGAAGATTAGCTCCACTTCCACAGAGTAGAAAATGAATAAGCAGGAAATGAAACCAAATTAACCTTTGATATGGAAATGAATAAGCAGGAAATGAAACCGGAGATTTGATATGCCATTGGTTGGAGCCCTTATTTCGCATGACCCACCTGTATAATATTCAAATTCAACGTAGAAAAAGTACATATCATTTTTTCATTCAATAAAGGGTCGCAAAAACATCAACACTGACAAATTAGAGCCATACCTTCTGAAAATCTGAGTTTTCTTTGAAGTTGTCATTAGTGATTCCATTGTATAGACGTAGCAAATAATTGAAACGAACTTCAGAATCTCGCTCGTGGAACCTGTAAAAATCTTTTATAGCAAATGTAAAGAATTAAAAATAGTACTTTTTGTTTACTGTAATATTTTTGCCTGCAACTAAATTGAGGAAACCATTGTATGATAGCAGATTATAATAATTTCGGTGTGTGCATATGAAATGCTCGTCCTGAGTAAAATGTTTGAATGGTCATTGAACTTTAATATGGTCACGATTTACTCATTGAACTTCAAATTGCCTCTTAATGGTCACTGAACTTTCTGCCGAAGCACCACATCCAACACTCACCAAATTCCGTTACAATCGAAGCTGACGTGGCGGACGAAAAACACACGTGGAAGATGACGGCCGTTAAAAAATGACAACTCA